TTTTAGTTCCAGCAAATACTATCTGAAATACTTGGCTTTTTCCTTTGGTGAGACATCATAAATTTAAACTTTGCTGGTTTCAATGAATAATTAAATTTTCAAAAATTATAGGTAATTAAGACTACCAAAAATTAAAATTGAGTAAGAAGTCAGCAATTATAGACTACATGTATTTTAGCAGATCTGCAAGGGACTCTAATTAAACACATATTAATTGCACTAATCTTCTTAGGCAAGTAATAAATTGGAAGAGCTGATTAATGCACTGGATTTAGTTCAGCTTGTTAAATCTGACACCCTGGCAAAGGAAGACTATCTTGAAAAGCTCTTTTAGCTAAGTAATTGGAATTTTACTCTCAGTAATTTGCCGTTCCATAATAAGAGCTATTTAGTATATTGACTCTTCATCAGTTTTTTTTTTTAAATACATGTTAGTTATATTTAAACAGTACCATTATGCAGCTCATAAAGATTATGAAAAATTATGAACTTTGACTTTTACTGTCCATCAAAAGTCACTTTCACTCTGAACACAAATTAGTATATTTCCTTGTAGGCTATAAATTCTAATTAATTTTAATTCTAGAAGCTGCTAATAACATTTTATAAAGTCCATACGGACACATTAAGTCCTCCACACAATTCATAAAGCCAGCAACTAAACCAGTTTTCAATATTAAATAACTGCTGGTGACTGTTGGAATACACTGAAACACCATTCTCCAATGAGCCTCAATTTATCTTCTTTTCATCTATTTATCTATTTGCAAACACTTACACATACACTTAACTGGTACTCAGTCACCTGGCAAGGGAGTGATAGAAACATTTTTGTGAGCAATAAAACAGTATAATTTATATAAAAAAGTTTGGAAAGCTGCAGGTAGGGATTTTAAAAGTCTGATTTCTCTCCAACACAGCTACTACTCCTAGTTTGTAACATGAAAAGATGCATCAAACTTCACTTAAGAATAAGCATATACGGACGAACAAATGAGAAATCTCCCCTGCTAAAGAAAAACCATCAAGTATAGAATAGGGCAACAGAAACTTTCATATTTGAAAAATGTTTTTAAGTATTCCATGAAACTTGAACAGCTTCTCCTATGTCCTAGAAAATGTGGGAGTGTATAAAGCCTTTCATATGAAGTATCTCAGAAAGTCATACATGTTCCAAATCAAGTTCAGTCTGAAAAAAATCCTACACATATAAATATCTCGCTGCCTTCAAATTTTTATTCTGTACTCCTCAGAACTGACATTTCATATTTCTGCTCTAGAGCCTATAAGCTCCAGCCTCTACATCTAAAATCTGTTACTCTTCTGTTAGCAAAAACTAATGTTTAAACATGTTGAAAATCACTGTCACAGTGAACCTAAAACCCACCCTTTGTTTCTTATGTGAAAGGTACTAGCAACTAAGAAGTCAGATGAACATTCATTTTAAGCAGCAAAATTATTTTCATAAATGAGCTATAATGCTTAATATAAGCAAATACCAAAAAGCTGATCAGATAATACTGGGAGACTGATAAGTCATGAAATGAGACATAAAGGTACCTCAAAGAACTACAGTTAAACTTGGATGTCCCTCAAATATTTCCTACCCATGTTCAATGACAGTAGAGTATAATTTACTGCCTATCATTGGATAAACAGGTGGCACTCAATTTCAACTCTTCCTTTGCAGTCCTATGAAGAAAGGATTACTTTACCTTCATGACAATGAGTTTAAACAAGTGCTATATTCTTCTTCCACTGGTTGCGTATTACTTGCAACAAAAGGGTTTTGGCCTGTGCCTGAGTCTCCCATGTACTATTACAAGAAATCATAAACAGCAAACCAATTCCAACTATTTTCCAGTTGATGGCATTGACCATTTAAAGATCTGTCAGACTGGTTAGCAGTAGGCAGGTTACCACAACAAATTCCACACCTGAACTTGAAATCTCTAATACAGAGACCTTCAAGACTTACAAAAAGTCATTCACATTATAAGAAAAGCCCTCAAATTGCAGGATGTACGTAACTGAAAGCAAAAGAGAACTGGAATTCTAAACAAGCTCTTGACTTCCTAAGCACAGTGTCAGTTCAGCGCTGCTGAACGGCAACTGAAGTCTGAAATACGACAAATACTCAATTTGCAATTTGCCTCTGCACACAAGCTCCGTTTCATTGCTTGAAAACACGGAACACAGCTTTACCAGTGGCAGAATACACTTTGTCATGACGCAATACTGAACACAAAAAGCCACTGGATATTATTTAGTTAAGAAGTCGATGAAAGTGAACAGTGAGAGTTTCAAAATCCTTGATGAAAAGGAGATTCAGACCACAGGATGTGCTTAACCTGTCAAGAGCAAAACGCCAGTGACTACAGCTTCTGGTCCAGAAAATGCTGGGTTCTGTCTTGCTTGAAAGAACTGCAATAACTGGAAAAGTAAAATACTGACAGAAGTTCGTATTTCTTTGTATGATTTCTTTGCATTTTTATAACACACCACCAAAAAATAATCTACAGCCCAAATTAAATTGTGGAAATAATAATAAGATTTTAGATTATAGATAGAGCGATGAGCTAGATACACAGATTCTGGAAAGTACAGTGGAACACACAGCATGAAGTCACCAAGACTAAAGTATTTATCACTGCATTTATTAATGTTTAGTTTCAGTTCAAAGGACTACAATATCTTCTGGTAAACTGAAATCACATTAAAAGCTAGAATTTATATTTTGTAAAGCAAATCTGAAAAAGGTAGAGACCTTGTTTTCCTCCCTACAGACTTTCTAACAAAAAACCACAACCCCAAACCATTGTTTTTTTGTGACAAAAATAATTCTACATCTATCTTCTCAGCACTTTTCTACAATCTTTCTCCATATTTCTGCAGGCAATACAAAACTTAGCTTCAGCATTTCTTGTCAACATTAAAGTCAAAAATCCTGACAAGCACATGACAAAGTCTTGTGTTTGAAGATGCTATGTATTTAAATTTTCATGATATCACACTTTCCAAATGTTACAAGCATACAAATCAAATGTATGTTCTTACTCTTGCCAAAGAGCTTTCTGGAAAAAAAAAAAAACACCTACAAGATTTTGAGTTTTTACTGACTTAACTCTCCTTCTCTGCACGTGTCTGAACTTCACACTCTTTTGGTCCTTGAAATTGAAACACAGAAAAAAATGTTGCTGAAGAGATTTCCATAAAATTCTTTAAACAAAAGTTTTAATTATGACTGTTTCCTGAGTACTATTTGTAAGCTGCAGAGATTGATAATGAACTACCATTCCCCTTTCAACAATTTAAGGATGCCTCTGTGCTCTAAATAAAATAGGTAACCTATACTAAAAGTAAGTTCTTCTGAAACACATGCTTCTGTTACTACCTGAACCATTTCAGTTCTTATTGTTATCATAAAAGTAGCAGACTTCTGTATATTTTACCTTACTTATGCTTGTCCTTAAAAAAGGTGACTACTGTAAGACTTAACTCAGTTTTTCCCCATATCTCCTATTAAAAATAAGTATTTTTAAAAGTTATAATTATTACATTATTAAAAAAACCTGAGAACTACTCACTTCTGAATTCTAGTCATTTAGTCCATCCTTTATTTAAGACATTTGTTTTAAATCCTTGTTTTGGGTAACTGGTGAATAACAAGATGATATTTAGGTATAATGCTGAATCTCATGCCAATACATTATCTTGTTAGTTTCAGCAAAACTAATGAAGTACTTAAAGGTAAACAGTTTTAATCTTGCTTAGATCACATATCAAATAGGACTTGTGAGGAGACCAGAATTTCTCTTCCAATTTTTCAGGTTCACACCTTTAGACAAGCAGCATCAGACAGAGGCAGAACAGAAGATACACCACCAAAAACTGGTGATGAAGGAACTAGCAAAGTCTAGCCTGGGGTTTTTTCTAAGAGAAACTTCTAAGTTACACCACAAGTGATACATTAGAGATTCAAATAACATATCAAAAATTCAAAAGCTTTCCACTTGAATCATTAATATACAATTTGACTTGTGTTTCATCCTTTTCTAAACAATTTTAAACATTCATCTGAACACAACTTAGTGCAGCAGTATGACCTTACTCTTCCCTCATGAACAGTCCCTCACATCTGAAAAGTCCAGTTAACTAGAGCGCTATCAAACTGTGTGCAAAATAATCACCTTTTGATAGCCCCATGGCAAATAAATTTTTGCTATGAGAGACTGATCGTTGAAGGAATTTGGTTTTTTCTTTTTTTGCTAATAATGATTCATCTCACTGCATCATATTAACTTCTATTGGTAAGTGCACACATGCATCTTCTCCAGCATGCATCTATCTACACATCTTCCAGTATTCAGGATTGTCCTGGTTTTTGCTAGGACAGGGTTAATTTTCTTCTTAGTTGCTAGAATGCTTAGCAACCTTAAAATCCAACAATCACAAATTTTAAGAGACATAACTCAGTTGATATATGCTACAAAGAAATTAGAGACCACTACAAACCTCACTAACTTCTACTCTACCTGCAAGACTTTTCCTCAACACACACCTGCAGATCTATACCTTCCAAAATACAATGAAACAAACACACTGCATATACAACTTGCCTTCCCAAATATGGGATTCAAGGAGTAAATGTGGCAGAAGCCAACAGATTTCATTAAATGCACTAGTGCAAGGCATCCTTACACAACGATGAGAAGGATTACAAGAGAACCTAAAGGGAAGAGACAAAATTAGTTATCTGTAACAAGGGCAAAAAATCTGTTGTTTGGCAAATAACTTCCAAATTAATATTTATTGAAGACTACAGTCTAATTACTTTGGTATACTACAAAATGAAAGCCATTAATTGCTTGCAGACACATAACTTCAACAAGGAATAATGCAATATTAAAAATGCACTACACAAACTTGTAGTCAGAGTTTTACTTTGCATCAGAATGTTAGGTTTACACTGTCTTTGGATCCAACAACCCACCATAAACTTACTTTTGTATTACATTCTGTAAGCTGAGCATCATACCCAGTTCACTTTTCATCTTTTCTCTGTTGGCACGGCACTCTGCCAAATAGCGGAGAGCCTAAAAGAAACAGGACCACAGCAAATCAGCAACACGTCCAGCACATTACCATTCATTTTTACTAGTGTACATCTTCAAAACATTCACAGTGTGAGTTCTAGTAAGAAGATAAAGAATATTACCACCTACTACAAACATGAAAAAATTGTTTTATTCTTACAAATACACAGAAAGCATAAACTATCTAACCTACGAGAAAAGGCTGAGAGATGGGGTATGGTTATACTGTGTAAGAGAGCCTCTAACAGCTGTCTATAACTACTCAAAAAGCTTTCACAAAGATGACTGAGCCAAACTTTCCTCTACAGCAGCAGACAATGTAACAAGGCAGAGCAGCCACAAAGTGCACCTTGGGAAGTTCACACCAAATATTACAAGATGTTTTTCCACTATGAAGGTGGTTCAGCACTGGAACAGATGACCTAGTGGGACTGCAAAATCAATGAGACAAAGCTACAACTGACCTGATTGAGTGTTGGTGACAGCCCCAGTTCAAGCAGGATGCTGAAGTGAATGACTTCCAGAAGTCCCTTCCAACAATCATTTATGTGATCTGACATCTGAAATAATTTTTACACACTATGCTTCTAGTATAACGTAAATAAGGGGCTCCCCCAGTACTAGAAAACTCATCACCACCAAGTTTATACTGCCCACAGAAAGATGTCTACCAAATTTATAAGCTTCTGAAGACTAATTGCAATGTCCATCACCTCATACAGGAGTAAGAATATAAGCAGCAGCAAGCTGCTTAGGTTATTGTTACCTAAACTGTGAATTTACACTTATTTGTTGCCAAATAATTTGTTTACCTGACTGTCAAGGTAGTCTCTTTGCACAATTTCACATTGCTGACCCCAGTCAGCAACTGTATATTTGCATGATCCTTCTAACATAATATTCTTCTAGTTAAAATGTCAGTCCTTTTCATGAGACATCTCTCTATTGTTAGTGCTGACAAACAAAGATTTCTTAGAGGTAGGTACAAGACTTGCACTTGCAAAATCCTGCAATACACAAATACAACGGGTTATAAAATGGGTTTTGTGATAGCAAGGTTTAGAAGTGTACCAATTCTTCCAATATAGCCACATAATAGCTATGTTGCTCAATAGCTGCTTTAAAAATAACATACTCCTTAATTCCTTCAGAGATAAAAAACTAATTATCTGGGGTTTTATCTAAATCATCTTCAGCATATATGAAATAAAATTCAGGATCATTTTATTGCCTTTTGAAAAAGTCTGTCTGCTGTCTGGCACAATAAAAACTCTAATGTGATTTTTGGTATTTTCTGATATGGATCAGTATCAATAATTGCAGTTTATAAGAGTTGTATATGCATTTATTTTCTTACTTTCCAACTAAGGGGAAATATCTGAATGACAGCTCTGAACTACTAACTTCCATGTTAAGACACATATCCTTACTGGTGGAAAAAGCTTCTCATTTTTATTAGTCTCTGTTGAGGTAATTTAGTAAGGATGTAATGTTGTTGGATAAAGAAAAACCCATTCTCTTAACAGCTAATGATTTGAATAAAAACATAGGCAGTCTCTTTTCCATCTGTTACATATTCCTTACACACAAATGTAACTTCCACTAAAAGAAGACCAAAGACAAAGTTATCAGAACAACTTAAGTGACCTGACTTTTCAACGCTAGGAAGTCCTGCTCCCCCTGCCCACCATGAGAGATGCAAAGGTCTGAAGTGAGATAATTCATGGTTATTACATCACAGTCCACCAAAGGCATAAGGAAGATTACTATTATGGACTTTGGCTCAGCCTCTGTTCAGCAGAACACTTATCTATGTTAGCTTTAAGCTCACAAGTAATTTAATCATAATCAATAGTACTATCACCATACTTGAATATAAAAATACACTGTTGTCCATCTTCATAAAAAAATATGGTTTTGATATTTTGTAAGTGAAATGCTAAGGTAGTTTCTTAACTTCAGAGTCCTATTTTTAAAAATTTTAGTCCAAATTTAAGAGTGGAAAAAAAGAAAAGTAGTATTGCTTGTGTTACTTCAGATTTTTTTTATTTAAAACTTTCAAAACTTTTAGCATTTCAAGTGTACTGTAAATAATTCTTGGAATCAAAACTAGAGAAAACTATAGAAAAATATACCACTCCTTGATCAGACAGAAGAAAAGACTGAACTGAAGCTGCACATGAAGAGGAAAATATCCTCCCTGCAAGATTCTACAACATATCAAAACAGTTAAATGGGGAACTATTATGATAGACTATTTGTAATTTCAGCTATGGGAATGCAGAACAATACAATAAGAAATTTAAAGTCAGGGCTGTACATCCTTTTATTAAGTACAAGCTTAACAGAAAATCATTACATTTAAGGATTCCCATTCAAATGGCAGCACCTTTTTGACCAGTGGGCTGGCTCAAAAAACAAAACCGAAGACCTTTCAGAATGGAAAAATATTAAAAATGAACTCTAAAAGCTTAACTCTGAAGATTAAAAGCTATGGAACCTCAGAGATTCAAGAACTCATGAGCACAAGGAGTATGAGTAGCAGACAAAACCAAGTTTTTACAGTAAACTGACCCATTTCTGACTGCAGCTGGGGTCCTGGGATATAGCATGGTTTCCCCTGAATCCCAATTCTTAACCCACTCTGACTGTGGATTATCACCAAATGGAGCAACGCAGCTGTCTCCCATTCTCACCCAACGAGATGTTACTACACAACACAACCTGAAAAATACCTGGGGCTGTGGAACCACACTGCAAACTGGACTAGCCCCCATCAACCTGACAAAGTCAGTCTTTTTGAAGTACAGTTAAGTTTTGTAACATGATCACAGACCGATTACTGGATCCTGTGCAGGCAGTGAGAATACACAGCCCAAAGCAGCAAAGGAAGAAAAAAGAGTGAGACATTCAATTAAGATCCTCTTTTAAGACCACAACCTAAAGAAACTGCACTGGAAAGAAAACCAATGCAACATATCCCCAAGAACAGTAACCTCAACTCAAAAGTTCTTCCAGTGAAGAACATTCTAGTCTGGCAAATGCCATGGCAAGGCTAACCTAAAAACCAATTAGCAAGACACAGGTCTCCTGGATAACGGGACCTCATTCCCTGAACCCAGCAGAGTAACAGAGACACTGAAGCAGTCCCAAGAAGCCCACCAATACCCACTGCAAAACTAAAATAACTCAAAGAACTATAGTACAGATAGCTCTCAACTGTATAAAAAGCAATGTGTACATGTACGTAAAAGCCAGAGCTCTTTATTTATTCTTTAGTTTCACATTGTGCAGAATTCAATAATGACATAAAAACCAAAAAAGGGCACCACATAAATTTTAGTAACTTACAATCTCATTAGAATAACTGAATTAGGCTTTTAACAAAATCTTGACTTTTGTTTGTCCTGTTTCTAAGCAAGACATATACTTTTTAAAGTTAGTATTTAGACTCAGGATGAAAAATCAGGACTTCAGCGTTTATGATTTAGAACAAGAAGAAATAGACAAAAGCTGCAACAAGTTGTATTAGATATTAATAGATTTCTGGTTGTTTGGTTTTGGGTTTTTTTTGGGGGGAGGGGATGTTTGTTTTTTAATACCATGAGAGTGGTCAAATGGTGGAACAGGGTGCCAGGAAGGTTATGGAATCTCCATCCTCCAAGGTGTTCAAGAATCAAGTAGACACAGCCCTCAGCCATGATCTGAGTACACTTGATTTGAGCACGGGATCAGACTACAGCACATCTGGAGGCAATTTATAACCTAAATGATCCTGTGTTTCGGGGGTTTCGTTGGTTGGCTGCTTTTCGTTGTTGTTGTTTTTTACCAATATGAATCTCAAATCACTGTGTATATTTACCAAGCTCCATGACTTCATCTTAAGAAAGATATTTAAGAGTGCTTACCTCCCTCCACAGAAAAAGTGACATAGGCACATTAGGGGGAAAAATGCAAAATAAATTAATCTCTTCCAAAAAACATAAATTCCCCTGGAATAACTTGTCATTGCTAAACAAATTTTTAATTATATGGGGTTTTTTAAAAAACCACATATAATGAGTATCAGGATAACATAAAACTAGGTTTTATTTTTTACATTTTTACTTGTTTAAAGATATATTGACAAAATTACAGAATGTCCTACTGACATACAAATTTATCTCCAGAACACTTACTAGTAAAGCTGAATGAACAACTGGAGGGTTGGGATGGTCCAAAAACAGAATAAGACCTGGCAGGCATCCTTGATCCTGAACAATGGCCCGTCTGTTCAATGGGTCAGCTGCTAGATCTCGGAGCTGGTTAACTACAGACAGCGCATCGGGCTCCTCACTCATAGTAGAATTCATTTTTTCTGCACCATGTATACAAAAGACCTACTGAAAAAAGAAAAGTCTGTATTACTAACACCACACCAGTTAAAATGCGAGTAAGACAAAAATACAAAGGCATTGATTTTTATTAGCATAGAAGTATAAAAACTCAAGGACTAGAACTCATGGAATGTGGATGGAATTGAGAAGGATGTGGATCCCAAAATTTGTAGTCTGGAAATCTAAACTCCCCATGCAGAGGACAGGTAGGCTTGGTTAATAATATTTTGATTTGTTTCCTAGACACAATTTCAGGCCAGTCAGCTTTTACAGGAACATGTTTATGTTGGGTTTTTTTATACTACTGACAAATATTTCCAGGAAAACCATAGTTTTCTCACAACAAGGCACCCCAGAAGTCTGTAAACATCCTTCTGTATAAACACATGCAAAATCAAAATATGTATTTTCAGAGTACCTTTAGCTATACTCAAATTTTACACAAGAATGAACCAGAAAAGCCAGCAAAAGATTAACACCACATCAAGAATGGTGAACATTAAGTTTTATCTGGATCCATCTACCAAACTAGTGTAATGCCATACTCATTCAAAGGCAAAAAGGGTTTTAGAGGGTGGGTTTGGGGATTTTTTTTTTTCTCTTTTCACTAGTACCCTCTCAATAAAAAGAAAGCAGGTCACGCCTTGCTCACGCCAAAGTCCAAGCCGCGGTATCAATTTCAAAGGAGACATGTCTTAGCTGGAGAGGATCAGATTCCAGAGTTGTTCAATAACTACTTAACAGGCAACAAAAGCCCAGGTTTACTCAACAGAGAAAATGGTACATCTTAGTGCAAGAGTTTCCTTGAAAAGACTGATGATGTGCCTTTGAAACCACTAAGTGCTAACTTAGTGGTGGTCCTGGTGCTGCCAGTACCAACCCATGCAAGTAACTTTTCTTGAGGCACATAAGTGTGAGTAAATATGTGCTGTTAAATTGTGTTCTCTCATTTTTGCCTGCATAAAAAGTAAACTTGTAAGTGGTGACATTCTTTTAACATCCTTTCCCAAACAAATAATATTGGACAAATATTATACTGTTTTCTTTCTGAAAGTAGGTCTTTCAGCAACACAAATTAATCAAAACCAATGAACCACAAATATGCATTCTGGTTATGATCCTTTCTAACGTTTTCACATAGAAAAACTGCTGTCAACCTCCAATTCACTTGTCCTTCCTTCAGGAAAGAGAGTGCCAATGTAAAAAGCAGACAATCATTTGCCTGTAGGCTATTTTTCTTGACACTCACAAGCCCAAAAGAGACAACTGGGAGATACAGCAACTCAAACAATAAACAATCATTTATATTTCCAAGGCAGACAATTCTAAATTAAAAAAAAAATAAATAAATCTATTACATATTATTAATTACTTTTCATAGCTGGCAAAAGAACTTATTCAAAACTCAAAAATCAAGTCTGTTTTGGAGCTGATGCTAACCAGTCTCTGACTTTCAGTTCTGCATCCCAAGTACCAGATTATTCCTACAACTCTCTCCATTCTGCTCATCTTCTGCTTTTTTTCCTTCTAAACTCCCCAAAAAGCAGGAAGACAAATTTTACCCCCTGCTATCCCATTAGGTGACACTCATGTCCTCCCCAGACCCTTCTCCCTCTCTCCTCAGCCACAACCGAGGAGAAAACTGAAGTCCTTACCTATAACGAACAATTTTATAAAAACTGGGACCCCTGGCATTTTTAATGAAAAAACCAAAGCAGCTGTTTTAAAAGTTTTAAGAAGTTATCTAGAATCTGGGGGCCCAGCAGAGAAGTTAGCCAGGTACCGGCTCCTTTCCCCTCCTTGTAGGTCTGAAGTAAAAGCTTAACAAAGGCACGGCAGGCATCTCTGCCGGTCTCCCTTTGTACTCGGTGGAGCCGACAGTCCGGCTGCGACAAGGCCCCGGGGCGCAACTCCCGGGCCCCTCGTCCGGCGGAGACACAACCTTTCCAGCGACCGGCTACTGTGAGCTCCGGGACGCGGTGAGGCGGAGCAGGAGAGGAGGGTCCTCAGCCGGCCCCGTCGCCCCCCGCTCACGGCCATCCCGCCCTTCCCCACCGCCCTCCGGCGTGGCCTGTTC